AATGGCAGTGCTGTGTGCCTGATAAGGGCCTGGGTAGCCAGCAGGGGCAGAAGATTCTGGGTGTTCTCAGCGAGGGACAGGGAGGGCTTTACCTGAAAATGGGCCCCAGCTCCTGGAAGTTCTGATACATCTCCAAGTGAAGGTTCTCATAGCCCTGCTCCTTCCAGATCCGCAGCGTCCTCATCCAGTTGTTGTTGGGACGCTGGGGTATGGCTTCGAAGGGCAGCACCGCCTTGGGGGCCAGAGCGGCTCTGGTGCCCAGTGGCCGTGGCCCTCGCAGAAACAGCCAGGGCCCTGCCATCCAGATGTCTGCCTTTGCCCTGAATGCCATTCTGATACTCCTCTACCCTGTGCCCAAATCCTTTTATCTCTCCTGGGGACCTGCACTGGCAGATAGATCACGTCATGGAAGAAATTGTCCCTGGACCTGCCTGAGAAGCCCAGGGCAGAGGTCAGGGCCAGATCAAGGTCTAGAGTGGGGGTGCACAGGGGTGGAATTTGGCAAAGAGGCTTCTCCCTCCTCCCCCACTGCTGGGAAGAGGGGATGGGGCTCTTATCTTATCAAAGATCCTTGGATTATTCATCTCCTTGCAAGATCCAGGACAGGAGCAAAGGAAGAGGGGTTTGCGTTCATTGAATTAACCCACTCATGGTGCCGTGTGCTGTTCTCCGGGCCTTATGCAGGGTGCCTGCAGTGGAGGCATGAAGCAGGGTCCATCACCATGAGGGGCTCAGCCCTGGGGGCAATTCAGTGAGGTGCAGGGGTACAATGTGGCGGGGGGAGGTTCACGGCGTGTCCCAGGCCTGGTCTTGGCTGGCCTTGAGGTTCCCTGAGTGTCCCAGGCCCGGTCTTGGCCGGCCTTGCTGGTCCAGCTAAGCAACAGGCCACAGTCAGGAGACATTGGCCTGGAGGGCCTGGGGGTGCTGGGAGCCAGCTCGGGCTGAGAGGTGAGAGTCCTCTTGCCCTGGTCCATCCTTGCCTGTGCAGGGGGCTGTGCCCACCGCTCACGTCCCCCTTTTCATCCTACAGCACCTGGCCCATGACTGAGATTCATAGCTCAGAACAATGAGAGGCCATAGAGTCTGAGTTGGGGGGAGCTGTTAGGGCCCCGCTGTCCTGCGAACTCTCTCTGGCAGACACATGGCCAGGGCTGTCCCTTGGGGGAACAGGCTGCCTCACCTGGCACTGCCTTTCGGCCTCCCCTTCGAAAGACACTTACTCCACATCTACTTGGGGCAGGCACCTGCCCGGGGAGGCCAGCAGGGCTCCTGATGCCCTGGGGATGGGCCCTGGAAATGCTAATGCAGGCAGAGCCCTACACAGACATGCTCAGCCAAAGGTAAGTGGTGACAGACAGCAGGGGGTGATCGTGGGCTGGACGGGGGAGCCACAAACTACACAGGACGGCAGAGTCCCCTCTCATGGCTACTCACAAGCATCACAGTGTGTGTGCGAATCCAGTCATCTCGCAGGTCAAATAGCCAACGAGATCAAGTTAGGGAAAATGCAAGTGTTCATTGTCGTGCAATAAGAGAAAGGACAGGTCGCTGTCTGGAGAGGTCCAGCCCCCTGGGAAGATGCCACCTTACCACAGTCACAACTTAGAAAGCTTCAGAGAGGGGTACTGATCATTTTGTCACTGGCTGTCGCACCGCAGATTCTTCGTAGGGCAAGCAGAGCAGTTCGAGCTGCCTGATGTGCAGCTGATCGGCTTCATTTCAAGTGACTCGGCTGACAAGGACATCAAAAACTGACATTTTGCCTTTTGTTGATGAGTAGAGCCAGTGTTGTGGGGAAATCGGATGACCTAGGCTTTGGCTGTGGTCATGGGAGGCTGGCCTTGAGGTGTGTTTTTACTGTGCCTCCACGCTTGCTGTGTTCTTTCAGCCCCACGTGAGCTCCTCACACCTGGAGGGGAAGGACCATGAGGGAGCCTCCGGGCTACGTGGAGAAGGAGCTGGGGAGGGGACTCTCCGCTGGACCTGCAGGGGACGGAGGAGGCTGCCCCCTGTGCAGCTGGAAGGGAAGGGGCTTCCACACTGAGGGGATGGGGCAGTCCCTGGCGGGAGTGGGCAGAAAGGAGACGGAGGGCTGGGCTGGGAGGGCTGGTGCAGGCCAGAGGGAGGGTGTTGTGAGGGTTTTAGCAGGGGAGGGCCACAATTTAATAATTTTTAAATCAAGTCCCTCTCCCACATGTCCTTGGGGGAAGCCTTCAGCAGTGGGTGGTGCGTCAGCTGTGGCTGGGCCCTGAGCATGGCTGACACAGAAGAGTGACGTGGCCTTTCTGTGTGCCTTCATCAGCGCCAGATGGTGTAAGAGCTGTGCCTGGGTGAGTGGATGTAGGCGGGCAGCCTGTCCTTGGCTGGTGGTGCAGTCATCACTGCCATGCTGGACACTGCTGCACTGTCCGTGCCTGCCTGTGCCATCCTCCCTGAAGCTTCTACAAGGCGTCAAGACTCTCTGAGCTGCCCCCGAGGGCAGCCCGCGAGCAAAAGGGACTCTGTGGAGCACATTTTGCTTCTATAGTTTTACAGTTGTCTTCCCTGCTGGGCCATGAACCTGGCCAGGTCCCCTCTGGAGTTGACATGGGGCCAACACTCAGTCAGTGTTTCTTGGAGGAACAAACGCATGATTTCATCCTGACCATGAACAGCCCTCATGTGCAGATGCCACCTGCTTCCAGTGCACTGTACCCCTCCCCCATGGATTCTCGAGTGCCATGGAGACTGCAGCTGTCTACGTAGGAACTAAGGGCATCTTCCCACCTCTGCATCTTTGCTGACCCTGACTGGCCACCAGGATTCTCTCCTAACCCTGTGACTCTTGAGCCTCAGTCATTGGGTTCCATTCACCCTGTTGCCCTCCACTTTGAAAGTGCTCAGCTCACTACCAGGCCCAGGCAGTGAGTAACTCTTCCCTGCATTAGACTATCTTGGGTTATCCTTTGCCACGGTGTTTCTCAAGCTGTAGTGGAATAATAATGTCTGGACAGTTTGTCAAAATGCAACGACCACACTCCACCTCGGGAAAAATGCCTCGCTGGGCCAGGGTGAGATCCCAGGAACATAAAGTTGTATCAATCCCCCAGAAGTGATTCTGATGCAGGCAGCTTTCCAATTGCACTTACCTCTCTACCTCTGGCTGGACACTGCAGGGGTCAGCCGGAAGGCTGTGGAGTCTCAGAGAATTATGGAAAGTGGAACACCTCCATGTAGGCTGGGGATGAGGTGGAGCAATGCCAGGAAAGCAAAAAGTATGGGCGGCGGGCAGGGTTCGGGGTTGTGGAAGAAGGGCAAAGTACGCACAGGTACCGTTCAGGGAGACAATGAGATGGAGTGTGCCCATGGGCAAGGAAGGACACTTTATTCAGCAGACAATTCTCAGCTAAGTCAAAGGTGGAAGCGAAGCTGGGACTGCAAGATGGAGGGGCTGTCAGGCAAGGGGATGAGGAGGACAGACACCGATGGAGAACAAAGTGCACACGAATACCCCTCCTGTTCGTTCACAGCCTGAGGACGGAAGTCCCTCACCTGCACTTTGTATTTTCCCAGCCCCTCCTCCCCTGCTGTATTTTCTTGGCCTGCTCAGGCCCCACCTTCCTCCCCTGGCTTCCCCCAAAAACCCTCAATAAAATACTAGGAAACAGAATCCAGCAATATATGAAAAGAACTGTAAGCGTGGGCAAGGGTATTTATCCCAGGAATAAAAGGTTGGTTTAACATCCAAAAATCAATTCTTATAATACATCGCATCCATGGAATGAAAAACAAAAATCACATTCTCATCTCTATGAATGCAGAAAGTGCATTTGACAAAAGCTAACACCATTTTCATGATGAAAATACTGAACAAACTTCTTCAACTTAATAAAGGACATCTATGAAAACTCCACATCTAACCTCATGCTTCATGGTGAAAGGCTGGCTGCTTTCCTCTTCAGTTAGATCAGGAGCAGGATGTCTGCTCTCACCAATGCTAATCAACACTGTATTGGAGCTTCCAGCCAGAACAAGTAGGCAATAAAAATAAATAGAAGTCCTCCTGACGGGAAAAGAAGTGAAACTGTCTCTATTCACAGATCACATGACTTTGTATATAGACTATCCTAAGAAATTCACTAAGAAAGCATTACATCTAATAAAGTAGTTCTGCAGAATTTCAGGGCACGAGATCAATATACAAAAATCATTTGCATTTTTCTAGGCATTGCAATGAAGAATATGAAAATGGAATCAAAAAAACAATTCCATTTACAGTAGCATCAAAAACAATAGAATACTTAGGAATAAACTTAACAAAACAAGTTCAAAACTTATACTCCGAAAAATAGAGATCATTATTGAAAGAAATTAAAGAAGATCTAAATAATTAAAAAAGTGTTCACTCTGGGAGGCCAAGGTGGGAGGATCTCCTGAGCTCAGGATTTTGAGACCAGCCTGAGCAAAAGTGAGACCCCGTCTCTAGAAAAAATTAGCCAGGTGTGGTGGCAAGTGCCTGTAGTCCCAGCTACTTGGGAGGCTGAGGCGGGAGGATCGCTTGAGCCCAGGAGGTTGAGGTTGCTGTGAGCTAGGCTGATGCCACAACACTCTAGTGTGGGCAACAGACCAACACTATGTCTCAAAAGAAAAAAAAAGTGTTACTAGTTGATGTGAACACCTCAGTTCTTGTCTCCTCAGGATCTAAGAATGAGAAAGCAAGAGACATAAAAATTTAAATCAGTGAGCAAAGAAGTTTATTAGTAAGCAAGAATACACTTTTAAGGGGGTAGGAGTGGGCACATGTTCAAACAAACAGTGGCCCCAGGGTTTCTGTGTCATCCCTTTTTCTCCTGTCTGGCCTCTCCTCCTTTGTGACGTTGTCTCTTCCACTTTTTTTCTTGCTCAATGGGGATGTTGTCTCCTTCTTGCCATTGGGCAGGGGAGTTTTTCACCTTATATGGTTAGGACCAGATGTGTCCTGGAACCCACTCAAAGCCCATGGTGGGGGAGGGGAACTGCAACGTCGCATAATGTGCCCTGTGTTGTTTCTGTTGTGTTTCGTGTGACACTTTATGTGACCCTTATCTCATTATTGTTACAGAATGCTCTCTTACTCAGCATCCCATTTGTTTGTTTATACTGCCCGTTCCATACTTCCTCTGCTCATGTCTTACTTTCCTACCTATGCTAACAGAAACATCCCATATTCACGGGTCAGAAGACCTAGTATTGCTGAGATGACAATGTTCCTCAAATAGATGTACAGATTCAATGCAATCCCTGTAAGAATCTTGGCTGATTTCTTATAGAAATTGACAAGCCGATTCTAAAATTCACATGGATTTGCAAGGG